TGTGTGCTCGTGTGTGCACACATGCACATGTGTATGTTTTAAGACAGGGTCTCACCATGTAGACCTAAGACCAAACTGACCTCAACTCTTTTAATACTATTTTAATGCATAATTTCTTCTCCTTTTGGCATCATTCTTGTATTTTGCCATAATTAGATTTTGATGATTATCTCTTTGTCATTATTGTTTTGTACATACCGACAATTACAATTATAGAAGATTGGATAAATTTGGGTTTGATAGTCTCCCCTCTGTTTTGCTGATGTTGTTCATTGAGAAGCACAAAGTATCTCTGTATGGTTTTAAGACTACATTTCTTTTACACATTTACTTTTTCATGCTTGTTTCACTGAATTTTACTCATTTTTGTCTTTTTTTGAAAGAATATAAATGTGGGAGAGAAAGTTCTGTACGGTCTCTATGGTATAGTGGAACATAGCGGCTCAATGAGAGGCGGCCATTACACTGCATATGTGAAAGTGAGAGTGCCCTCCAGGAAGTTGTCTGAATATATTACTGGGAGAAAAACTGTACCAGGTAAGCCATCCTAAACATGAAAGAATTTATTGTTAGTTTTATTTTTTAAAGCAGTTATTATTTTACAGATCTCCAAATGGATTCATTTTATTAATTTTAAATTTGCTTAGATAATATTTAAGAATCTTTATAATCACAAAATAGTGTCTTTTTAGTAATTTTGGGGGGAGGGGCAGGGATCCAGACAGGGTTTCTCTGACTGTCCTTTAATTTTCTCTGTAGACCAGGCTGGCCTCAAACTCATGGAGATCTGCCTGCCTCTGCTCCTGAGTACTGGGGCTAAAGCCGTGTACCACCATGCCCAGCTCCTTTATTAGTTTTTAAAATGTATTCATTATTCATGTGTCTGTGTGTTTACTGTGTTGCGTGAGGATGTGTTTGGTAGTTAGAGAATAGTTCTGTATACTCAGTTTTCTCCTCTCACTTGCGTGTGGGTTCTGGGGATCAAACTGGCAGCCAGGTTGGTACAGACAGTGCCTGTGCTTCCCGAAGCATCTCTTAAGCCCCTCTTTCCTCCTTTTAGAGAAAGTGAGTCTTTTCTCTGAGCAATTAATGTATGTTTTAAGACAGGGTCTCACCATGTAGACCTAAGACCAAACTGACCTCAACTCTTTTAATACTATTTTAATGCATAATTTCTTCTCCTTTTGGCATCATTCTTGTATTTTGCCATAATTAGATTTTGATGATTATCTCTTTGTCATTATTGTTTTGTACATACCGACAATTACAATTATAGAAGATTGGATAAATTTGGGTTTGATAGTCTCCCCTCTGTTTTGCTGATGTTGTTCATTGAGAAGCACAAAGTATCTCTGTATGGTTTTAAGACTACATTTCTTTTACACATTTACTTTTTCATGCTTGTTTCACTGAATTTTACTCATTTTTGTCTTTTTTTGAAAGAATATAAATGTGGGAGAGAAAGTTCTGTACGGTCTCTATGGTATAGTGGAACATAGCGGCTCAATGAGAGGCGGCCATTACACTGCATATGTGAAAGTGAGAGTGCCCTCCAGGAAGTTGTCTGAATATATTACTGGGAGAAAAACTGTACCAGGTAAGCCATCCTAAACATGAAAGAATTTATTGTTAGTTTTATTTTTTAAAGCAGTTATTATTTTACAGATCTCCAAATGGATTCATTTTATTAATTTTAAATTTGCTTAGATAATATTTAAGAATCTTTATAATCACAAAATAGTGTCTTTTTAGTAATTTTGGGGGGAGGGGCAGGGATCCAGACAGGGTTTCTCTGACTGTCCTTTAATTTTCTCTGTAGACCAGGCTGGCCTCAAACTCATGGAGATCTGCCTGCCTCTGCTCCTGAGTACTGGGGCTAAAGCCGTGTACCACCATGCCCAGCTCCTTTATTAGTTTTTAAAATGTATTCATTATTCATGTGTCTGTGTGTTTACTGTGTTGCGTGAGGATGTGTTTGGTAGTTAGAGAATAGTTCTGTATACTCAGTTTTCTCCTCTCACTTGCGTGTGGGTTCTGGGGATCAAACTGGCAGCCAGGTTGGTACAGACAGTGCCTGTGCTTCCCGAAGCATCTCTTAAGCCCCTCTTTCCTCCTTTTAGAGAAAGTGAGTCTTTTCTCTGAGCAATTAAGTACTATAAGACTAATATTTCACTAGATATTTAAATTAAAATTTTATTGGCTGAGAGTAATTACTAGCATAATTTGTTAGTAATATTGGTGCTTCGAAAGCATTAGTTCGTCTTAGGTAATACTTAATCTAAGAAAAATAAAATACGATGTTAGAATTAAATATATTTTATTGTGAATGTGTTGCTGCTTACAATTTAGAGGATGTAGATATACTAACTGTAGAATTGTCCTTTTTGTTGTGCTAGGTTTGAAGGAACCTGACAGTGACTTGGGTAGCCACTGGGTCCACATCAGCGACACTTACGTGCAGGTGGTTCCAGAGTCAAGAGCACTTAGTGCACAAGCTTATCTTCTTTTTTATGAAAGAATATTGTAATTAGCTGTTAACTGTTAGTTAGCTCATCTGTATTTTAATGCTGCAGTGGTAAGCATAACATGTAATGTGCCTTTGTAGTCTTTAGAAATAGTGCATCTTTCCAGCGTTATCTAATTTTTTCATCATGTGGTAAATCCTTTAAAAATAAATTAATGCACCAGGCTGGGCGTTGGTGGCACATGCCTTTAATCCCAGCACTCGGGAGGCAGGGGCAGGCGGATGGATCTCTGTGAGTTCAAGGCCAGCCTGGTCTCCAGAGCGAGTGCCAGGATAGGTTCCAAAGCTACACAGAGAAACCCTGTCTTGAAAACAAAAACAAAACAAAACAAAAAATGCACCAGGTGGGTGATGGCACACAACTTTAATCCCAGCAGTCAGATGAGACACAGACAGAATCTCAGTGAGTCTGAGGCCATTCTGGTCTACAGAGTGACCTCCAGTATAGCCAGGGCTACACAGAGAAACCGTGTCTCAAAAATAAAACAAAACAAATTAATTAGCTAATGCTTTCAAATCTATATTCTTAAATGTAAAAATGTTTCATGCCCCCCAAAACAAAACAAAACAAAACAAAAATATGTTTCATGTTAATTTTCATGTCATTGGAGATCCTTTCCTCAAGAAAGAAGTTTTTGATAGTAGTGGAGAAGTTCCCTTTATGATGTGCCTCATCCTTATAGATATTCGGAGATGATGGTGAATTGAATTATCCTTTCACATACTGCTTCCTAAACGTAATACAACCTTCCTGAATGCATCTCCTAAGTCTCCCATTACAATTTACTCACTCTTCGTTTTAGCCTCTTAAAATCTTGGCCCTGTTTTGAATCATACTTCATATTTTTATGGGCTTGTTATTTTTCTAGTAAAAAAAAAAAACTGAAGTAAGTTTATAGCTATGAAAGAAAAAGCATTCATCCTTGTACCACTCCACTTAAAATCATCTCAGGGCTTTGCAGTGGTATGTAATTACTGTACAGGAAATGTTGCTAGAGCAGTCTGCACTAGTGCCTAATGTAACATAATTACTTTTTCATAGTTTATGGGATTTGGTCATGTAAAAAGGAGCCACTGTAATTTTGACAGTGTGAGTTTACAAGTATTGTATTGTTTATCTTATTGCTTAGAATATTTGAAAATATTGAAACATTTCATAGTTATTTGCAGTCTGTTAAAGATAATTTGTAAGTGACTGCCTAAGGCCAAAATAAAAATATAGGTAATTGTAACACATAGAACTGGTAAATAGAAATTGATTATCCATATAGGAGCATAGGATAATTTAAAGTTTAAGGATGCCTTTGAACTACACATGACCAAATTATAATAGTAGAAAATCATATTCTTATCATTAACAAGGGAATATAATACATTTTCTACTTCTATATTTCAGTAAATTTTAGACAGGTGTCTTCATAGCCATCATTTAAAAGTTCAGGTGGGGGCTGGAGAGATGGCTCAGAGGTTAAGAGCACTGACTGCTCTTCCAGGGTTCCTGAGTTCAATTCCCAGCAACCACATGGTAGCTCACAACCATCTACAATTCAGTCTGGTGCCCTCTTCTGGGCATGTAGGCAGAACACTGTATATGTAATAAATAAATAAAAAGCTTTAAAAAAAAAGTTCAGTTGGATAGCTGGGGATATAGATCTGTGGCTGACCGCTCACCTAGCCTGTGCAAGGCCCTGCTTCAATCCCCAGCAACACAAATACAAAATTTGGGTGGGTTTAGGTTTTACTTATTGGGGCACAGGGTTTGTACTTCTGTTCCCTTTAAATGATTAAGGGGTAACACAGTATAGTTTCTTCTAGAATTCAAATGAATGAATGGTGGAAACTCAGCATGAGAAATATTACTACCCCAAAATTTAAATAATCACTGAGGTGGTTCATTGACACATTGATTGAAATGAAATGTGAGGGACTGACTGGTTCAGTATCCTAACCATCTGTGCCAGTGGTGATACAAGGGACAAATGCCAGGGAGAGAGGCTGTAAACTGTACAGACCTTTAACCAGGATTGAACCTTTTTGACATGTGTAACATTATAAAGTGTTGCCTCTTTGTGTGGATTTGTCTAATGCAGAAATTTTTAAATACCATTGCATAAATTCTATTTTTGAGTTGTGGAAGAAATTTCAATGGTAATTCTATTGATTTTTCATATTAAAGATAGTGAGTTATATTTTATCTGCAGAGCCCAGTTGTGTCCTCTAAAGAGAACTTTTCAATGTTTTCTGTTTCATTAAAATTCATAGATACAAGCTGGGCGTTGGTGGCGCACACCTTTAATCCCAGCACTCGGGAGGCAGAGGCAGGCAGATCTCTGTGAGTTCGAAGCCAGCCTGGTCTCCAGAGCGAGCG